TTAAAAAAATATTTTTTAACAGCAGAAAATATATATAAACCCCTGCAGGTGAGCATATCTGTATCAGTCCACATGGTGTTATTGTTTGTTATGAATGTACATGAACAGAAGACATTACTGTAGTGAGACCAAGGCTTAAAGTAAATGATTCGAGTCACAAGCACACGCATGGAACTGCCTTCCTCTACACATGGAGCCATAAAGCAGACCTGCTTGGTCTGGCTCCATTATTGGCTTTCCAACCGCAGAATCCCATAGGAGGGTAAAGGTCCTGCCTGTGTGCAGTGCAGTGCGTTGCATTACACAGGAGTCTTGGATTAATCAGGAGCCCGGGTTAATCTCCAGGCTCAGCAGGCAGCATTAACCTGCTGGACAGCAGCCCCAGACCTTTTATGTCTCTTTGTGGCTACACATGTGGAAGCACACACTGCTGTCCACACACAGTCTTGTGTTTATAATGAACTTGGCCTTTCTTTACGAGAATGAAACCATTCTTTACATCAGCCAACAGCCTATGGTCCTGCTGTAGTGTCGCGCTCAAGTAGAATGTGTGAGGTACTTATGATACTTCCACTCCATTAATTTTATCTGACTGCTTCAGTTAGCAGTTACTTTTAAGAGGGAGGTTTTTAATACACTGCATAATACGCTTTTTTAAAATACAGTACTTAGTTAAAGATGAAAACAATCCTCTTATAAGACTTAATTAGTCCTGCTGTCTCACAAACAACAGTCTGTAGCAGGGCTCACATTTCAGATGTATACAAATTACCAGGTCTTCAAACTGTAGATTACTGACAAAACAGCAGAGGCTTCTTCGAATCCAGCCAATCATAATATGGCACTGGTAACTGAGAGCATGGCAGTGGGACACAAAAAGCTGACTATATATTTGACCACTGATCATCTGCAGGTCACATTCCTGCTGCAGTCAGAGCTGATCGCTGTAACCATGGTGTCCAACCCGTCCACTCTCTGCATCTGTTAGCAGGAGGGGTGTGGTGTGTAGAGCGTCCGTGTGTGTGTGTGTGTGTGTGTG